GCATTGAAAACGCAAAATAAAATAATTTCGCTATTCCCTTCCTAAAGAGATTTCTATGTCATAAAATTAGGCTTCTGACGCGGACACCGAAGCAGTTAGTTGTTTTGCTTCTTCCAGTGCCTGACGTACTCCAAGGAGGGTGACACTCCCAAGACGCTAGCCGATAAAATCGTGACTATAGGTGGCCGGGGCCTCGGACAGCACTTCGGGCCTAGGGTTTTTCTCACGCCATCTCCGCTTCCAGATACTCTCAGGTACCCGAGGGTCCAAGGATGCAGCATGCAGAGAGGCATTCTGACAGCGTTGGTAATTCGCACCTTCGGCTTACAAACGAAGTGGGGCTAGCTCGCGGTACTTGCACAGGTCGTTCGGAAACTGCGACAAATGCAGGGGGTCCCGCACTCAAAGTGGTGACATGAATCACGAGGCTTCAGCGACAGTGCCGCCATTTTGGGCCGAGGTTGAAGAAATGGAGCCGGGGGTCTTCGTTGTCATCATCCCGCAGGTCTCTGCACCAGCCGCGAGCTGAAGCGTTGCTCGCGAGAGCTGGAACTTTCTGTGCTTGTGCTCACTGAGGTTGTCATTGGCTCCAAGGGGGCTCAAATCAAATCAATCATGGAACAGTCAGGTGTCCGCCCATGATTTTTCGCATGGCATACGATTACAAGTCTCACGACTATTGCGCGAAGGTGCAGAAATCAATGTGGGCCGTGAGGCCAGATCGGCCCCGGGTTCCTGCCTGCAGAGCCGTGCGGCACCTGCCAGGCAATAATTGGCATGCCTGACCAGCCCATTAGCGTAAACGGCACCGTCGAACAGGCACGAACACTCGCGTTTATTGGATTAGAGGTCTGGTTTCTGAAGTCATGCTTCTGTTCACTTTCCCACCACTCTTGCAGAGGTAGTTTCTGCTGTCTCCGGCATCAACAGCGTGCTCCAGGACAGCATGCCGGCTTGCACCGCATGTGCACATCGAACTATGTCAGTCTCCTCTCGAGTATCCGTAGGCTGCAGGGCCGGATGAGACATGTGCCGAACAGGAAACAACCTTCCGAAAATCTAACCACCGTGGCACATCGATTGGGCAAGCCAGTATGCTCGGTTCCAACAGGGCAGCAACTCCAGATAGTTGAAGTCCTTTCCGGCTTCAAGGCCGCGCAAATCTTTTTTTTCAGCACAACCTCCCCCGTCCTACCAGCCATTTCTCCTGCCTCGTGGCTGTCAGGTATTTTACAACGTGTGCTGACATCCACCGAGTCCATTGCTTCAAAAACAGGCAAAACAAGTGCCGGGCCCGCTTTTTCTCACTATTGAACTAGGTATTGTCGACGTTCTTGGCACACTGTCGTCAACTTTTCGAGCTGTCCCAGTAGAAACGCGCCAATATGTCCACAGAGTCGGGCCGAAGGTATCCCTTACTCGTGCATAGTTTCGAGAAGTTGGTGGGATGTTTCGGGAGAGGAAAGAATGGCTGCCGCCCACATTCTGTGGTTCCCTGGCCCCGCCGCAAACAACTGCACAAGCAGAAGAGTATGCAGAGAAAGACCGCCTGGTCTGCGTGTGTACCATGCAACCGTGTGTACCATGCAACTTGTCCCGCGCAGGCCAGTCGCCATATGTTTGCGTGCTCCGATTGTGCATGTGTTGGCTTCTGTGGCTTCAGACTCTTGCTGCAGCGGGTTCGTGGGACTCGGACTGTGGAATGTGCGACGCCACAATGGGTGTCACGTCTGTGACCTGTTTAACCTTGTGGCAGGACATAGCGAAGCACATCAAAGCTTCCGTGACATGTCTCAGAAAGTTACGCCCCCGCGCGCGCGCCCGCGCGCACGTAATCCAGACGAGTAACTTGCCGTTGCAATTTGCCCCATCACGTCGGCGACTTCGTGTCAAACACAGGCTTCAGCGGCTTTGGTGCAGCCCCACTTGCTGCAACTTGAAGTTGCACAAATCTGCCGTTTCCGTTCCACATAGAGACGTCTGGTCGCAGGACATGGTGGATCGTGGGAAGCTGGATGTTCAGAAAGACTTCCAGTTTCAAGCGGCTGCTGGTTTAGGCCGCTACAGTATGCAATGCTTGTGCAGTTGGAGGGAGAGAGAGAGAGAGAGAGAGAGAGCGCAGGAGGGAGCGACTGCTTTCTCCTTGACTGTGTGGAAGAAGAGAGAGAGCGCAACAGTGTTATCATAGGGGGACTGTCAGCCATTATCAAGACTTTCACACTCCCTCAAAGTTACCCCAAACAGTGGGGGCCCTTTAATGGCCAGGGGGGCTGACAAAGCCCCTAAGCCCCGAGGAGGAAGAGCGCAACAGCGGAGGGGGGGGGGAAAAACGTTTCCGCACAGCCGAGCCCCTCATCGAAGTTGGTAAAGGGCAGGGGGTTCAACAGTCTCAGTTTAACGGTAGTTTTCGACCGGACGCAAGACCAGTGCGCGCTCGCGTGCAGGGGGGCCTAGGCCTCCTTTGACTGTGCTGACGAAGCAAGAGAGTGTTCACTTTTGCTGTTTTGATGCCTCCACCACTGTCATTCATGGCTCGGGACATCTACGCCGGGAGAAGTACTGCCCCTCTCTCCCTTAGATACATGTCCACCGTTAGCGGGGGGGGAACTGCCCTGATTCTCAGTTTGTGCGTTCTTGATAGCCGGTAGTCAGTGTTTGTTGCATCAGAGCAATCAGGGCCCGGGCCTCAGTTTTCGGCATCGCTGCACGGACGGGGGAGCAAGGTAGTCGTTCAAGGGTTGGTTGCAGATGCCCCCCTTCTGATCGCATGTCGATCGGGGGACGTTTCCGCTTCAAGCACTCTGCAAGCCTTGGCCTACATGGTGCGGGGGGTCAATCAACTAATGGCGCCTTGCATGTAGCCACAGCCGTTCCTTCGTTTTGGATCTTTCAGCGTGTGCCTACCTACTAGTTGCCTTTCTTACAGGGACGGTACGGTTGTCGTGTCACAAAAACCCCCTGAAAGCACTACAAACAGTGGGGGGCCCATGCGGCCAGGGGGCTTGACTCGCCCCTTATGCCCGAAGGAAGAAGAAGCAAGAGTGAGAAGCAAAGAGAAGGAAGCGGAGGGGGGCGGGGGGGGCACGGTCGACATCGGCGCGAGCACCCATCGGGGAACAATTTCGAAGTGACACAGCCCCAAGTACGAGGCACCGCAAAGAAACTAGAGACAGGGAGATGCCTTGATCCCAACCTTCCCGGCATTTGTGATCCCACATTTCAGGGAATCTATACATGCGGACGGACTACGCAGCGTTGCATAATCACTGCCACTACATGGGTACATCAACGAAACGACACGCCGTTGAGACCAGTAGACGGTTGCAACAAGTCGAGAATGCAGGCAACTGAACAGCGTTCAATAGCCAAGATTCATTCTGCAGTTTCAATGGCTGGCTAAATGACCTCCACAGTCCATGCCGGATCGTGTGGATCTCCCGCAAGGGAAAGTTTGGTCGAAGTGCATATTCTTTTCTGCTGTCCTTGCCTGGTAGCGGGCAGAATGCTCAAATGTTGTACTTGAATGCGAGATCAGAGCTGGAAAAGAGCAGAAGAGACCCAGAGCACATTCACAGGACTGTGTCCCGTGTCCTTGACTTTGCATGCAGGCGCAGAGCGACCCATGGATGGCTACATGCCGGCGCAGCCGGCTGCGCCTGCCCCGACGCCAGCCCCGCCGGCACCGACAGTAGCAACGGCTGATGCGACATCGTGGAGCAACGCTCCGACAACGACTGTGAGTTCGGCTGGACTCAATGGAAACGCTGCTAGCTTGCCAGGCGGGCTCCCGACAGTAGGGCATGTGCAAGTCGCTGCCAGGGCAAAGTCGTAAGAAAATGTAAGAAAATCAGATAGTTGCGATTTGGGCCATCCAGGCATTTAGCCACTGCTGAGGATGCCAAAGCCGAAGTTTATATTTGTGGGAATTGAGAAGAAGCATTTCGGAGCTGTCCTGTCGTTGTTACCCCGCTATCTTACATGAGTTGGGGTGTTCGTTGGCATCCGCGGATAGGTTGGGATGAGGATGATGCAGATGATGATGATGATGATGATGATGATCTTTGCTTCCGGTGTCCGAAGGGAGGCGTGAATGTGGTTGGCAAGTAGGCCAAAACGGGGCAAGCAAGCACCAGGACCAGGACTTCTTGGGCTACCAATCGTGAAGGCTAGAAGTGCGCAAAAGGCCCACCAAGACACTTTCTGGAGCAGTCGATACTCGCCACCGTAATGAGGCCAGGTCGTGGCCTGTTGTCCGTCATCAATGTCAACAGATCCTCAAGAATCTACGGGAGGGGTTTGCCACAGTCTGGGCTGACGGAACGAGCGCGGCTGAGTGTCTGAATCCACTCGTCCCGTGCCCGAAACATGAGTACAATACGACACCTTCACTCCCTCGATTGGTGCTCACCACACAGCCCCGAAGCCTTGGCGACGCCCTCCGACCATTGAAGCTAGGTGAGAAGGCAAGAAGTGGCAGTGAAGAGGCCTTCATGGCAGCACTGCAGGTGCGGTTGCGTTGGCTTTACGTTTTCCAGGTGGTGGCTGTGGCGCGGAGAGTTGAGCATTCCTGACACCCAACTTTCCTGGAAGGCGTCTGGCATCAACAACGCCCAGCTCACAATTCTGATTAACAAGGACGTTGTGCCCTTCTCGCTCTTGCGTGTTGAATCAGCGAGCAGGAGCAGAGTGATGTTGTGCACTGCGCGTCGAGGCCGGCATGTTCTCCGCATGCCAGGTACTCAATGTGCTGGCGCCCCGGGGCCTCATGAGCGAAGTCGCCCAAAGGCCCGGTGTTTCGATCCTGTTTTCTGCAGATGCACCATGCGGACCATGCAGCCAGGTCCGGCTCAAGAATTGACGTCGGCGATGAAGGTCCTGCCGGCATGCTGCAGGCTCGGCTGAACTGTGAAGGGCCTTTGCTGTGCTGCATTTGCGACATGTCATCACCGCCCCTGAACAGGTCACCTTGAGCGGGGAGATGGTCGGGAACGCGATGGCAGCATTGCTGCTGCAAGAAAAGGCACAAGATCGCGTTTGTGGTGCTAAGGGGCCTGCAGCTGGTGAATCTGCGAGTACTAGAACTAGACTCAACTTGAGCTGCTGCAGGCGATACAATTTCAGCCGACGCATTGAGGAAGAATGATAACAACGCCGATGCCATGCTCTGACAGCACCCGCGCAGAAGCGAGCCAAATTATGGTGCAAAAGTGTTGAGCGGGTCGTGTAAACTCATGTCATGTGCATTGACAGCTTTTTGTGCTCGCGTTGTGATTCGACCTGAGGCTTGCTGATGTCTTTGTACCATCGGGCACACTTTCTACTCAAGTCACAGAATCCAGTGCAGATTTGCCATGACCTGCCTTTTAGAGAAGTCCTTTTGCCGAAACGTCCTATTCACACTTTGTGCGTGCTCAGTTGGGACGGGTTTGGACAGGTGAACATATTGTCACTGATATGCGCAGTTGCACTTGTGCCCAACATCGGAAATTATAAGTGTCCAGGAACGCACAATGTAGCACTTTGTGCCTTTGGCAGCTGCTTGCAAGCGCTTCGCCTCGCACCTAACGCAGCTTCGCGAGCACCCACCGACGGGATCCTCACGAAGGCAACGGATGAGCTTGGAGAAGGCGCGAGGTCACGATGCAGGCCCCGGATGTGTATCTGAGATTCATCTCAAGCACTTGTTGGCTTTGAACCTGAGAAAGCTAGGAGGCGCAGAGCTGTCCCTTGCACCTCGGAGTTATATACTGCAAACGGGGAATTGCATGGAAGAGGAGATTGAGGCTTTCATCCTCGACTTTAAAGTGTCTCGTGCTTTGGCCGTCCTCCAGCACTTCTCGGGGCTGACGGTAGCTGAGCCTTGCCCTTCTCCGGCCGCAAGCTGCACTCCCGAGGGCCTCTGGGGTCGTGAGCTTCCAGACATCGAGTGGGAACCCGGACCGGTTCATGCCTCGTTCAGTTTGGAAGCCGTGACCGCAGCTCTTGTCGTGGTCGGGCAAGCAATCCGTGTACCAGTAGATCGGTGGCGTGTGCATCTGGTAATCGCTGACGAAGAATGGGCTTTGATTCGATCCTACGACACTCGCAGCCCTGCTTCCCGGACCCAATGTCAAGACGATATTCGTCACGAATGCAGAGCGCTAATCGACAGATGCCCAATCGAGTTGCAGCTGCCACTCCTTCGGCACAATGTCTGGGCTTTGAAGCCGAGCTGCGGTCAATTCGGGCGAGGCATTCTGTTAATGGATCGACTGCCTGCGAGGCCTGTAGAGTTACTGGACTGGGTCGCATGCGTGGGACGAGGGGGGCAGAAAGCAGGCAAAGATCTGACTCAAGGCTGTGTCTTGCAGAAGCTTATAGAGTGCCCGCACCTTCTTGACAGACAAGTTCTGGATTTCAGAGAGAATGATTCCGCTCAACTTCACGGTTCCATGCCACCAGCTCCTACTTTGAAGTATAATTTGCGCACGATCGTCTTGGCCACCCTGCGACTACCTTGCCGAATCTGGCTATACAGGCATGGATTCGTAAGTGTGGCTCTTCGTGCATACACCGAGGAGTTGAACCCGTTGAGTCATATTACGAACTTGCGCCAGGGGAACGGCAACGATAGCCAGAGACGCTGGCCTTTAGACGATCTGGACAGGCACCTGCAAAAAGAGCAAGCTGGATCGCTTAACGAAGTCATACTTCCTCAGGTACGAAGAATCGTGTCATGTTTGTTTCATGCCCTCGCACTGCCTCCATGCTCGCTGCTGCCTCTAGAAGAAACGCCAGAAGTGACAGGAAACCGCAGCGCCACTGGCAGGAAAGTGCGTCGATTCGGGTTTGACTTCCTAATCGACGACAGACTTTCCGCCTGGCTGCTGGAAGTGAACTTTCTGAAGAACGGGTACGCTCTGGGACATGCACAAGCTGGACCCGCTGGAGACACAAAACGTGCCTTTGTGGACCAGTTTATGGCTGATGAGACTTTGCTGCGCTCGGCAGTGGCTTCACCCACCGAGGGCGCATGCGTACCTTCAAGCTTTGAGGAGTTGACTCCTCGGCCTCCGTAAGTCGGCTCAGTAGTTACTCGAAGCAGATACAGAACTTTTCGCCGTGAGCGTGTGCCCCAGAAGATCTCTCAGCATCGATCCTACACCATTTCTACCAAGCCGCACGAGCCGGGGACGTCGACGGAAGCTTGTCACGGCATCGATGCGGCATCTGTGAGATGGTAGACTATGTCTAGTAGCTACTGGGTGAGATTTGGTTAAGATGAGGCAATTCAGCATTGTAGGGCGTAGCGCAAGCTCCGTTCTAGTCGAAGCTCAAAACTAGCAGACCATGAGTCATCCGATGCGCTGATCAGAAACGTCGTTGGGCGTGTCCTGCCAAACATTTGTCCGTGTGATGAGGAAATATCGGCACAGTTGGAGATGTAGTCCAGCGTTCGTGTCAGCCTTGTCTGTACCATGCGTTATGCACTGCTTGGCTAGCTCGTTCTTTGCACAGCTAGAATGTTTCCCGTTGTGATGGGTTTAGAGTCGTACTCTGGGACTCAGGGCTTCTAGGTCAAGATTTGAACATGAAGTGGCAGAAGTGAGCCATGAGCCGTCATGCATTTGCTCTTTGCGTTGCGTCCCATGGGGTCCTAGGCCGTGTCGATGGAACTTTGATCGAGTCCGGTGAGACCTGTCGAACCGAGTGCAGAGAGGGTCCCCAATGCTGCATGAAGAGTATATAGTCATATCAAGTCATATCAATGTTATGGAGCCCTTGCAGAGAATGGTGGGTGTTCTTTTCGGGTGCCATACGTACTGGGTCTTTTGTATCCTAGTATAAGCCGCAACTAGGATGAGTCTGAGTAGATTTCGGTCCAAGAAGCCCTGTGCGGCAAGCAAGCAGCTCTGGCACGGCCTCCTGCTGCGGCATGCCCTTCCCGGATACTCCGTGCGGGACCTACACGCTCCTGTCGACAGCAGCTCAATCCCAGCTTTCTCACAAGTAGCCTTGGCAGAATGGCACTGGCTGACAACAGTGGTTTGGTGGGCGCTGTTGGTGCTGGGAAAAGTTGCACCGGCAATGCGATTGCCGGATGTCAGCATGACCAGGGACCCTTCCGCACCGGCGATGATTATGCAGCTGTGAGCCTGGACACTGTTTGGGTCGATCGCCAACCTGATGGGTGCACCTTGCGGATCATCGACACGCCAGACTTTAATGAACCTGGAATCAGGGCTGAGGAATCATCAGGAAATGTCGGATCGCTGCAGATCAGGCAAGAGGTTCCTATGTGTTCTGCACAGCTGTAGGTTTTCACAACTTTGATATGGCGCTCGGGTCTTGCAGTTGCTTCAGTTCGCCTTTGGAACCGGTGCCATAAAGCAGTCGCGCTTGATTGTCCCACATTGTCACAAGCCGTTTGGAAATGGTTCTCTTCTCGTGAACAGCCAAGCAAAGTGTTGTTTTTACTCGGCTTCGGGGAACGCGTTGTTTGCTTGGACTATGCAAGAGATTCGGCCACCGATGCCATGCAACAGCTACTGTGTGGAGTTAGGAAGGTTCACTGTGAAACGATGGGGCATTCTTGGGTTCTCGGCCCCAGCTCATAAAAAGCACTTTCCAGATGTCGTGGATCTGCTACTTGGCGAGCGAATGCAAAACTGCATTTTCGCTGCTACAGCAGCGGCTGCCGATCAAGAGCTGGCCTGAGGTGCTTCGCAAGAGTTGTCTTTCTGTGCTCGTTGTTTACATTGATGGTTCCACGAGGACGAGCAGGGACTGAGTCAGAACGATTCAGGCAGCTTCAGGACGCTCTGCCCTGAACAGGAGTCGTGGCGAGGCAGGTGGTCTCCAGCAAGACATGCCCCACGATTATTACAGACCATGGTTTGGATAGTGGAAAAACCCCGGCCGGATTATATGAACCCCACAATGCAAAGTGAGGGGTGTGAATGTTTGCAGTCATGAGCCAGACCTGTCGTATGCGCGATAACAGTTTGCCTTTTCTTCAGGTTGCATGTACAGACGCTTAGTTTGTGAGCGAATCGCAGCCACGCGGCTCTCGGTAAGCCAGCAAAAAGATCGAGCGATCGTTGCGCCGACATGCAGTCGGCATCCAGCCTTTACTGATTCGCATTGGTGACGCGGAGCAGGGAAACATGCAAAGCACAGCAGCGACACCCGAAACACCCGCGGAGGGTGGGTCGGTGCCAGATGGCTCTGGCCAAGATGCTTGGCAAGGCCAAGCGTGGGCATGGCAAGGGCGACAATGGCAAGATGGGTCAAGCAATGCTCAGCAGCATTCGTGGCCAGGCAGTTCTTGGGCAGCAGCGTTTGGCCTAGTGGTGGTGGCTCCTGGTGGACAGGCACTTGGGAGCGATCAGGGACTTCCGGTTGGAGTAGGGACAACTGGGGTGATTCTTGGTCCGGTTGGGCAGGTAATCAGCAGCGACCACCACAAGAGGATAGTGCAAGGACACCGTAGGAACTCAGCACAGTCGATGACAGCGTCTACCGAACTTCCAGCGAGTACCGATGATCATGAACCAGACGGGGTTGATCAGGACCCCAGAGACAGCGACCTCGGAAGCGGCTCGACCCGGAAGGATGTCCCCAAGACCGGCAAGGATCACGTGCCGGAGTTTAGCGGGGACACCACTATGAGAGAATATCAGAGGAGAGTTCGTCTGTTTGAAGCCAGTACAGGTATTGATGCATCGTACCGGGCACAGAAACTGATGGAACGATTATCTGGCCAGGCATGGTTGGCCACAGAGTCCCTCGACCTCACCTACATCAAGCATCCCGACGGAGTCGAACGACTCCTGCAGCATCTTTGGCAAGAACTGGAACCTCTTGAGTATGTCAGAACATTCACCACGCTGACTGAGTTCTACAAGGGGTTCAGGAGGACTCCGGGGATGGAGTACTTGACATACGACATGGAGTTCAGAACTCACCTTAAAAGGCTTGAAGAGGTGGGGGCCAAGGTTGAAGGATTGAATCGTGCCTATTGGTTCATTGAAAAGGCCGGGTTGAGTGCAGAATTGCGAAAACAAGTCGTCGCCGCGGCTGGTGGCGAGTATGACTACGTGAAGCTCAGGCGTGCCCTCCTCGCCATCGTGCCGAAGGTCAATCGCGAGGAGGACGGATTCACTTCCAGGCAGACCCCTCCAGGCAATCGTCAGTGGAAGCCTCGCACCAATCAGCCTCCTCGTCAGGTCCATGCCACGACTGAAGAGGACGGCGACGAGACGGTTGCCGATGACCAGGATCCAGATCCAGCCAGCCTCGAGGGAGAGTTGGAGGCAAGCGATGTCTACGTGGCGACGGCTCTCGATGACCGCCCGGAGGGTGAGCCGGCGCTTCAGGAAGAGGTGTGGGTTGGTGATATACCTAGTGGGGCACCTATTGAGATGAACAGGTTCACTTTGGCTCTCACCGATACGTGTTGCGCCAGGACAGTAGCCGGAGAGAAGTGGATGCAGCGTCACGTGAGACACCTGCATCGCCTTCGCGAGGACACTTTTGTTGTCGATGAAGCTAGGCCTTTTCGGTTTGGAGCGGGACCGAGGGTGATGTCCATGTACAGTGTTATTATTCCTGTGACGATACCGGGCGCTCAGAGATGGGCTCACCTTCGTGTCAGTGTGGTGGAGCAGGATGTGCCCCTCTTGATCAGCAAGGCGGCCCTCAAGAAGCTCGGAGTCGTCTTGGACCTAGCTGAGGGAAGAGTTCACTTGGGTCATCTTGGGACGAGCGTTCCACTTAGGGAGACAAGTGCAGGGCTGTGTGGATTCGACCTCAACGTCGAGCCTTCCAGGAGAAGATGTATGTGCCCATCTCCAGTACTTGTCGGGGAGAATGAAGAAGTAGTTACATCCTCCTTTGAGCAGTATGCCCTCCAGGATGTGATGATGGCCCACGCCAAGGAGGACACCGCAGACGGAGGAGCACCACATGGACCCCGGAGAGCGACATCGCAGGCAATCCAGGAGTGCGAGATGCTCGCTAAGCACTTGAGTACTGTTCGTGACTTCTCCTATGCAGCACTCCTTGACCTCGTCAGGCGGCTTCCACAGGGTCGAAGACAGCGACATCGACAGATCAACGACGGCCGAGGACCTAGCAATATACCGTGGACAGTGGGACTTTATGCTCATGGTAATCACATTGGAGTGACCCGGAGGACCGTGCGGTACCCACACGTGGTGAAGTACATCAACATGTTCATGAGAACGAGGACAGATATGAGCTGGAGCTCGCTTACTGTGCATCGTGATGTTGCCACAGAGTTGCATAAAGATGTACACAACGACAAGCAGGCCAACTCCACGACGGTCACCTTCGGTGACTTTGAGAAAGGACAGCTTTGGTTGGCTTTGAGTCATGAAGAACCTACCGACCGACCTGATGTAGTGTGGAAACAGGACACCAACGGGAAATGGATTCCCGGGCGCCTGGTCGACACCCGCGAGAAACCCTTTGAGTTCAGTCCTCATAGACTTCATGCAACACATGAGTGGTCGGGTGAAAGATGGTGCCTCACGGTGTACAAAGTTCGTGACACTGATCAGGTCGATGCGTCGACTCGTCGAGCTTTGGCGAGACTTCGTTTTCCTTTGGGGAGACGAACGGCTTCCAGGACAGCTGGGAATAATGAGCCCAATAGCTATGATGCGTTGATGTCATCGTCAAACCGAGAGCCGCAAGAAAGAAGAGATGACATCAACTGTGAACATGATACTCCGCAGCAAGCCTTTGATCGATCAGCCAGCGCTCGTTGTGACGAAGTAGCCTCCGGGCACCATGATGCCGACACAAGTGGTTGCCCCGAAGCGCAAGGAGGAGTACGTGCAAGCAATAGCTTGCTGGAGCAAAGTGTCAGTCACGGAGCTTCGCCAGCACACGGTGGATCGGCTTCGCGAACTGTATGCAGTGCTGAAGCCGAAGAAGCGAATGTCAGTGCTGCCACCCAGTTGGAAGAAACTGGACCTCGAGAGCCTCAAGGAGTTGTATGCCAGCCGAGTGGTGACCGACCTCGATCGTCCGATGGACGGACACTGGAATCGCTGGACCAGGTCCCAGCTGATTCGGGAGGTGGACCTTTGGAATCTCGATGTCCAGAGCACCATGGAGTACATGCCCGACACCTCGAGTCCCTTTCCGGTCTGCGAGGAGTGTGGCATTCCAATGATAACTCGAACGAATCGTGTGAGCAAAGAAGAGTTTTGGGGTTGCAGGAGATTCCCGAGTTGCAGAGTGACTCTTCCGATGATGTACGGAGATCAGCCGGTGCAGGAGGCGATCGCGGATTTCAAGAAGGTCGACAAGCAGTTTCAGATGCCTCTGCCTCCGAATGCCACACGAGTCAAGGACGAGAAAGCGCCCAAGCCCGAGGGTATCCTTCCCGGGAGGCGCAAGATCAAGGCCGGCTACCCAACCGGAAAAGAGGGAATGGCGACTTCCTCCGACCTGTCTTGGGTTCGCACTGGGCCGACACCGGTGGAGGAGATTTCATCTGCGGAGGAGGACACCGTCAACCGCAAGTTCAACACGAACCTCACCGCGGAGGAGCTCGAGGCGATCACAAAAATGAGGAGCGAGAAAGCCTCGGAGTCCAAGAAGGATCCACTCCCGAACAAGTGAGTTCAACTGTTGTGAATGCGTCCGAGTCGACTGTGGACGCGACTCCAGGGAGCCTTTGGATTCAGATACCGTGAGGCGTCGGATTAGGGAAGGTAATGCTCGTAGGGCCTACATGAAGCAGGGTACCATCCGGAGGCTCCTTGGAAACACGAGGGCGGTCGCGGCCGGAATTTTCATCAGTACGGTTGCCATGGCAGGGGCCGCCCTTCAGGCGGTGCCTTTTGGTAGCTTGAGACGACCCGATGTGTTAGAGATATTTCAGGATAGTGCACAGATGTCTTCGAACTTCTCCCGATGGGGTCTCAGTGTTCATAAGCCTATCGATATACAGGGTGACCTGAGTGATGATGATGGCCGGGATCGTCTGATGCAATGGATCGATGAATCGCAACCTCGCTTGGTGGTCATGTCGAATTGCTGTCCTTTTCGACCGCTTGTGTATGTTATGCATCGCAACATGTCCCAAGCCCAGAGACGAGAGAGGAGATGGAGAGAGAGACAGAAGCGAGTTGTGGATTTCATCGAACGAGTCTTTGATTGTCAGCTGAAGCGTGGTGATCATGCTCTGGCCGAGCTGCCGTTCGGCGAACATTGGGGTGTGAAATCACTTGCTGATAACTTGATGAGACATCCTCAACTTCAATGTGCACGTGGCTGGAGTTGGAAGGAACAAGACGGAAAGAACAGCGTGTGGGCCGTGAGTTCTCAAAACATATACCATCAACTTGAAAAGAGTGGAACCGAGCGGCAACAAGGAGCCACGCGATTGGATCCTCGCGTTTCAGCTGAGCACTGGAAACGCGATTTCGGGCGGGCAGTGTGCAAGGGTTTCATTCTTGATCTGAAAGAGAATGATCCTGGTCGGATACGTAAGTTGCTTCGCAATCTGGCTGCTCGTATACGGAATCGAGTGCACGCCGGAGACAAGTCCGTCACCGATCTCAGGTGGAGTGAAAAGATGGTCATGCGATCACTTGAGAAGTGGAGTGCAGTGTTTGCGCAAGAGGGAGAGGAGACAGGGGAACATGATGATGACGATGAAGAGATGATTCCTGTCCTGGAGGAGCCTAATCAGCCTAATCCCCGATCCTCGGCGTCTTCAGGTGATGGGGCTGTGGAGCAGCCAGCCCCTCCGCGACAAGCAGTGCAGTCCGGTTTATCAAGCAACGGGATTTGCTTCGAGGTGCCGCCTGGACGACGCCTTCAGGAGTCCGTCAAGCACGGACTGATTAAGGCGCATTGTAATTTAGGCCATCCGTCCCAGGCGGATCTGCAAAGATTTCTCAAGCTAGGTGGAGCGAAACAGGAAGTCGTGGAGGCGGTTAGTTGGCTTAGATGCTCTACTTGTGCTCATGCTCATCGACCTAGCACTCATAGGGTCTCCAGTATCCCTCCATTGCAGATCACGTTTGGCGATGAAGTTCAGCTGGATTGCATATGCATTCACGACGCGGCCAGAGAGAGTCATTGGTTCCTCTCGGTCATTGATCGAGCCACCTCGTATCATGTGATTGAGTTACTTAGGGATCATTCTCCAGCCGAACTTTATCGTGCCTTCGACAGAGGGTGGATGAAATGGGCCGGTCCTCCCCTGCGTGCCACTACTGACCTTGAAGGTGGTTTTCAAGGTCGGGACTTCTGGATCGATGTTGGAAATGCGGGTACTGCTCTTAGCTCCATAGCAGGGACAGCGCATTGGCAAGCAGGAAAGGTCGAGAGGCACAATCAGACCATCAAGGACATGCTTCACAAGACCATTCGTCACACCCAAGTGAAAGATAGAGACGACATGCGTAAGATGGCTCGCGAAGTTGCCTGGGCTAAGAACTCTTTGGTCCGTGAGCATGGCTGGTCACCTGTTGCACTGGTGTTTGGACGGGAGCCTCGAGTTTTCGGGGAACTTCATTCGGAAGGGAATCCCACCTCATATCATCCTTCAGTGGGAGATTCCGGGAGTGATGTTGCCGTCCGAATGAGATTCAGGTATCATGCTAAGCTTGAGTTCGTGAAGAGTTTAGGCGCGGCAGATGTTGTTGCGGACGGCCCATAACAGGACTCGTCGGCTTCCCATACCGAGGATAGGTCAGCTTGTCTTCTTTTGGAGAGCCGAGAACAGCAAGAAGCGTGCTAGCCAAAGTAAGTGGGTCGGTCCGGGTTATGTTGTGGGAATCCAAGACCGCAATGCCTGGGTGACTTGCGGGGGAAGATGCTTCTTGGTGGCCGGAGAACATCTGAGAGAAGCTATAGGTGATGAACAACATTATGGGGACCCCGAACTTCAAAAGGCTTTGGCTCTCTTCAAGAAGATCCCCAAAGAAGCCACCTATGAGGACCTCTCGATTCAACCAGATCCCGAGGGAGAGCCCCAACAGCTCGAACAGGAACCTCTTGCCCAAGACATGAATGAAGATATGGATGTGGATGATGACTCGGGGGAAGGCCTGCCCCGAGAATATCATCATATTAAGACCCGAGTTGGTTGGCATGTGGATGGTAGGAGTAATCCTGTTCTCGTGAGCCACAAAGCATGGGCTTTTCGGAGTCCCGAACCTCGATATCCTGCGGAGAGATTTCCACGGAGGACCACATGGGGTTACATCAGGAGAATGGCATCAGCTTGAACATGAGGTTAAGTGGGGAGACTTGGAAGATTGTCATCAGTTTATCCCGAATGGCCCAGCTGGAATCTTGATCACTGTGTTCCAAAGCAGGACTCGAAAGGAAACCTGCCTGGATGATGTTCCTCATCATGTGAAGAGGCGTAAGACTCCTGGGACTCCTCAAGAGGTTCATGCTACGTACCATGGCATTGGGAAAACCCAGAGTAAGAACAAGCTCAAACGCATGATGGAGAAAGAAATCCCTTTTGATCTTATTCCCTCGAAAGACAGGGAACTTTACAGGGCCGCTGAGGAGAAGGAATGGCAATCATGGCTGGACTACAATAGCTGTGAAGTGTTATCTCCTGAAGAGAGCAAGAGAGTGGAGACTGAGCGACCCGATCGAGTCTTGCCCAGCCGATATGTTTTCAGGAATAAGAATGCTGGTCTCAAGGATCCTTTCGGCAACGCTTTGCCCGTGAAGGCCAAGGCAAGACTATGTCTTCAAGGACACCTCTGTCCTGACAGTCAGTCGGGACAAGTTCAAGTCGACAGTCCTACCATAGAAAGGGTTTCGACGATGATATTTCTTCATCTCGTGACGAGTTATGGTTGGACTAAAGATTGGTTCATCGGGGATATCTCCAACGCTTTTCTTCAAGGGGCTCCACTTGATAACAAGCCGGACATGTTCATGCGTCAGCCGAAGCAGGGCCTCAAGGGTCTTCAACCGGGGCAAATCCTGAAGCTCTTGAAACCAGTTTATGGGCGTCCTGACGCCCCTAGAGCTTGGTATAACGAGTTGTCCAGGATAGTGGAGACTGAGCTTGGGTTTTGCAAATCACACGTGGATCCTGCGCTGTTCTTCTTACGTGACTACCAAGGTAAGCTTCGGGCCTTATTGATAGTTCACGTGGATGATGTGATGATTTGTCATGATGGAAGCAGCGAAGGAAATGAAGCAGCGGAGAAGCTTCATAGCCGGTTCCCATTTGGAACATGAGTGGAACATGGAATCAGGTCGCCAAAGAGGAGGCTGGAGTCTCCTATTGTGGGAAGGAGATTAAGGTGATAGTTCAGAACGGCGAAACCTGTGTTACGTTGAGTCAGAACGCCTTCCTCGAGGGTCGACTCCAGGCTATGACTATCGAGCCGAGCAGGGCCAAGCAACTGGACCTCGCTGCGAACGAGACCGAGTTGACTGATTATAGATCAGTTGTGGGTAGTCTTCAGTGGCTTGCGGTTCAGAGCAGGCCTGACTTGGCTTTCGAGTGTAACCAGTTACAGAAGAGAGTCAGCGACCTGAGAGTGCGAGACTTACATCGTGCCAACCGCGCGGTCAAAGATGCTGTGAAACATCGGTGTGAGATTCTCTTCCGTCCACTGGGGCCGGATGCTGAGATCGTTACGTTCCACGATGCCGGGTTGTACAGCAGTCTTGGTGTTGAGATTGACGAACGAGAGTGTGAGGATATCTTGCAGAATGGAACCGAGCGTAAACTTGTTTACTCCCAGAAAGGTGTTTGTGTCGGGTTCGTTAGAAGAGGAGCTACGGAACACGAGCAGCGAGCTCATTACAACTTGATTGATTGGAAATCCTCGACGAACCGACGTGTCATCGAATCATCCTTTGCTGCCGAAACTCATGGAGCTCTCATGGGGCATAACATGTCTCGCTTCGCTCAAGTTCTTCTTGCCGAAATTCGGTATGGGTCCGAGATTATTTCCGCGGTCGAGGATGATGGATGGCAGGATCTCTGCCCTGTGACTCTGGTCACCGACTGTAAAAGTATCTATGATACTGTGCACAAGGACGGTCAACATGTCGGTGAGAAGGGAAACATTGTGCACGCAGTCCTTTTGCGTCAGCTTTTGTCTACTCGTGCTGAAGGAGGAAAGGCCCGTTTACTTTGGGTTCCGACTAGGTGCCAGGTTGCTGACGGCCTTACCAAGGGTGCCAGGGGTGCGGATATCCGTGAGCAATTAAAAGACGGCCTCCTCTTTCACGAGAAAGCTGTTAAGAAACGCGCAGCGTCGACAGGTCAAAAGAATAGTAGTACCAGTGTGAATGTTTGCAGTCATGAGCCAGACCTGTCGTATGCGCGATAACAGTTTGCCTTTTCTTCAGGTTGCATGTACAGACGCTTAGTTTGTGAGCGAATCGCAGCCACGCGGCTCTCGGTAAGCCAGCAAAAAGATCGAGCGATCGTTGCGCCGACATGCAGTCGGCATCCAGCCTTTACTGATTCGCAAGGGGAACAGAGTATCCCTGGACCAAAAGGTCCTGAGGGTTGATTCTTGTCGTGCGTCAACGACTGGGTGTTGTTCTGAGGTGATTGAAGCCGGTTCGTAGTTCGCCCCAAGTCCGAAGGGACAGGTTGTCGGTGAAAAGCGCAGAGCCTTGACAATCAGTGTCTTTCTTGATTCTGAGAACAGCGCGACGGAACACCGGCCGGGCTTTTCACGCACATTGAACAGGCTCTCAACATCGCGAGTCCTTGCCTGGCATGCTGGAGTGCGAGTGTCAAACTAAACCAAAACCCTAAACACCAGACAAGCCCCTACACCCCAAACCCCCCACACAACCTTAAAACACCCTAACTTTACAATGAATGAACCCCAGACTGTAACCCTAGACCTGCTGAAACCTTAAACTTGTACGAATCCATAAACCGCCGCCATAAACCCGAAACCCTGAATACGGCCTCGTCCCAGATAGGTGGGAGGCAAAAAGAACACGCCCGAAACCCTTCAGAACGAAGTCGTTGAGGCCAACAGCCGCAAAAAGAGGCAAGCGACACCAAAGAAAGAGGCAAGTGAGATTGTTATTTGTGCTGAAACCGCCACTGCAATGTGGAAGTGGTCTTGCGCAGGCCGTGCGCGGTTCAAGAAGCTTCTCCTCTTTCGGGGGTGCCGGTGCAACCTCGCGAGCGGTCCTTTATTTTAGGGGGGTCAAGCTTCACCTGGCCGCCCCAGCCCCGGCATGACCTGACCGGAGGTGCAGATAATCAAACAGTCATAGACAATTAGAAGAATATTTAAAATAATTGTTATTATGATTATGGTTCAAGTCAAATTACAACTAAATATCAGCGTCGTCATTGGTTGCCATCGTTTAGGGTTTCGGATATCAGAGATTAGATCTTTAGCTCTGGAATACTAGTTCAAAGGAAGGTCAAGCATCTGTTGTCATACGATACATTTATTCGAAAATGAAGTTTCAATTTCAGATTCTCAATTCAAGCTTCGTGTCGTCCACCTCGGCCCGGCTGCAAGTGAAGAAGGACAGCGGAAACTTTGAACAGATGCCACGTTCTGGTGTAGGCTGAGTGATTGGTGAAGCACTCTGGCTGGAGGGTGTATGCCCGAGGACCCCCGGGTCGCGCTGTAATTGACTGGCTCGGGCCAAATCAAGGCGCGGCGTGGAGCTCGAGGGCTGTAGGGGGTCTGCTCGGGCCAAATGGCAACTCATAGTGCCGAGGTAGCACGTTCGTGGGTGCGCTCTTCTTGGTTCTTCCGTGTCGACTCGTTGCCAGCAGGACACGCCAAGAAAGGAGAAGGGGGGCGAGGCGGGGCGTGGGCGGGCGGGCGTACTCGAACAGAAAAAACGCCCAAATCGGGGGGCGGGGGGATGGTGTGCGGCTTAAACCGGGGATATTTGGAAGCTGGCTCTTGTCCATGAGTAGTACCCTTTTGCCCTTTTTCTTTCTGGGTTCCCTTATTAAACCTAAATAGTAAGAAAAAGGGTACCCTTATTATTAAGGGGTTACTTAGGAACTTGGGTGTATTCTAGAGAGAAAGCGATACTCTAAATCCCTATTATCTACCCCAAGAGGTAGCTTCCAAATAGACCCTAGTATTTTTTTCTTGATGGTCGAAACCCGGAATACAAAATCTTATTTAATTCTGAATCTATCGCCCCCGAATTCTCTTTGTCGAAACCCTCGGAACTTAATTAGGCTAGGAATTACATAAATAAATGTAAATCTTGGAGGGCCCCGGACCTCTTTGTTTAATGGTTGAAATACTTGACCTTTGACCGAAATTAGATAACTTAAATCTTGGGGCCCACGGACTTTTTCCGGACCCTTTTCCTAATATTCTTCTTCCCAACTCTTCCTCCTCTCGGATTTTCTCTAATTGGAACCGGTACTAATAATTTAAAATATTGATATTCTCGTTCTTGGATTCTTTCCCTCGAATTAAATAATAAAATCTTAATCTTAGATTTCTCCGGACTTGTTCTCTAATAATTTAATTATGTAATTAATATAAATGATTTATATCTTGGGCGTTCTTAGATCTTGTCCGAGTCTGAACTTTGTTTCTCCCCGCCTACTCTGCTTGGACTTCGCCGCGGTTCTCGGACTTTTTCTTTCATATTTGATTATTTAATGGAGATTTGGAATGAAATATTTTAATCTAAATCTTGGGTATCCCTTTTCCTAAGATGTATTTTATTTTATTAGATAATTTATATAGTAAGCCCTCATAATTCCCCCCCCCCGCCCCCCTTCTTCTATTATCTTCTCTAAGTCTTGAGCCCCTTCTCTGACCCTTTAAGCTCTAAATTCTCTATACTCTGAACTTCTTAAGTCTTAAACTTCCTAAACACTAAGTCGAATTTTAAATCTTAAATCCTCTGCCTTGCCTACTTGTGAGAGTGTGAGAGTCGAAATCTTCTTCAACTTTAAATCGCAACTATTCGATAAGACTAAGTTTCTTGAAACCACGCTCCTCGAAAAATTTGAAGCTATCGAGTTGTCTTTCGCTGTCTTGATTTTCTGAAATGTAGCGATTCCATAGCACCAAATCTTGGGAAAATGATATTTTTCGGAAAATTTGAAGTTATCGAATCGTTTTTCGTTGTCTTGATTTTCTGAAATACAGGTATTCGAAATTACCAAATATTCTGAAATGACACTCTTCGGAAAATTTGATGTTATAGAATCGCTATTTTTATTTTCTGATAGATTCGCGGATAAATATTTATATCTAGAATTAATTTTAAGCAATATTCGGAGATCTATATCGAATTCAGTTAGGAAACAGCCAAACGCAACAAATTTCGTCATCCGATTCTTGGGCGAAATTTGCTACGATTGGGGATTAGTAATTTTTTAAGTTAGAAAATTTTTATTGACAACAAATTTCGTTAATCGATTCTTGGACGAAATTTGATATGATTGATTTGTTCATTATATGTCTATTTCAATCAAGAAATTCCCAATAATAACAAATTTTGTCATTCGATTCTTGGGCGGAATTTATTATAATTGATAACTTCGTGATTATATTTTTATTTCGACAATTTTCGCCAGTCGATTCATGAGAGAATTTGATTGAAGATTGGGAGGAGCTCCACCCTTTCTTCTTTAGTACATGCTCTCTTCTATCTTTGGAAAATAATAGAGACAAGTAGGATCTCTTTCCCGACTTAGAGACCTTTCCTAGAGAGAAAGGAGATCTCTTCTGGTCGACTGAAGGGTATATGGTGTTCTCTTTTTTTTCGTGAAATTCGAATTTTGAGCTGGCGTCTTAATCTTTCTCGATATATGGGAGAAAGCTCTCGTCTTGTCGAGGATGAGGACAATAATTTATGTGCTATTTTCAATATTGGGGCAGCTCTGTCTATATTTATTGGGAGCGAGCTCTGTATAATGATCTTAAGATTAAGATAAAGATTTAGCACATATAAAGGAGCTCTCTAGAAAAAAATTTCGCCTAATTCTCTTCTCTTATTAAGAATAACTTGGAATGAGCTTTCTTCTTATTTCAGAAGATCTCGTAGAGAGCTTTTCAATTCCTTCTGAAAGTTGCGAGGTTCAGATTTTTCTTATCAATCTTTGAAAATTTGATTTTTTTTTTCCCCTTGCTCGTAAGTTCACTTTCATATTTTGAAGAGGAGGACGAAGAGGAGATATTCAGGAGTTCTCGCCCCTGGCTAATAGAGAAAGGAGGTCCCTTCGTGCCGATTGAGAGGTAAATGGAGCTTTCTTCTTTCTCGGGAAAATGGCGGAGTCTCTCTTCTGAATTGTTGGGGAAGGGGATCTTCCACGGGATCTCTTCTAAGAGGTAAAGGAGCATTCTTCTTTATAATGAAATTGGAGTGATATTTCTTATTGTTTTCGATAATTAGGAAGAGAGTGTATACGTTATTTTTGAAGGTTGGAAGGGATTCTGTCTTTTCTTGCTAAGAAGGAGGTCTCTTTATTCTTTTGAAGATTGAGAGGCAACTTACCAAGAGGTAATGGAGCTCTCTTCCAGAAAAAGCTATCTTTTCTTATAACGAAAATTTGGGAGAATTCTCTTCTTATTTTAATATATGAGGTGGAAGAATTTTCTTTCTTGTTGAAGATTGAGGGAAGGATTAGACGTCTTTATTTGAGAAGAACTCCAATCGCTTTTCTTTACGGGCGCATGTTCTCTTCCATCTTTTGGAAAAATAAAGGAGATAGTTAGGATCTCTTTCTTTTATTTAGATATTTTTCTTAGAGAGAAGGGAGGTCTCTTCTTGCCGATTCAGGGAAAAATGGAGCTCTCTTCTTTCTCGTGAATTTGGAGGGATTATTTTTTGAGATGGAGTCGTCTTCTTTTATATGAGAGGAAGCTCTCGTCTTGTCGAGAATGAAGTCGATAATCTATATGTTATTTTCGAAGATTGAGGCAGCTCTGTCCATATTTATTAGGAGCGAGATCTTTTCAATGATCTTAAGATTAAGTAATAAATATTTAATAAATGGTGAAAGAGCTCTCTAGAAAGAAATTCGTCTAATTCTCTTCTCTTATCTAAGAATAATTTGGAATGTGCTTTCTTCTTCTTACAGAGGATCTCGTAGAAGATTTTTTTTCTTTCTGAAGGCTGCAGGGAGGACCAGAAGGCTTGAGTTGTGGAATCCTTTTTCGATTAATCGTTCTCTCTCTTCCATATTAGGAAGAGGAGGAGATGGTTAGGAACTCTCGTCTCTCATTAAGAGAAAAGAGGTCTCTTCGTGCCATTTGAGGGGTAAATGGAACTTTTTTCTCGAGAAGTTAGAGGGG